TCTCCATCCATTGAATGAAAGCATTCAATGCTGATAGGACACCTGAGATTCGGTGGCAAGAATATTACTTGTAAACCATCTCTCTGGAAACTAATTTTGAATGTATATGAAGACTCTTTTAGAAGTTCCTAACAAATATTCAAATTGCTTAATTTGCAAGGAGTAACAAAATTGTAAATTGTCTTTGTGTTTAACAATAGTAGACTGGATAAATAAAATGTTTTTTAAGGGCCAAGTATGGTGGTTCAATGCTTTTAATCCTAGCACTTGGGAGGCAGAGGCAGGCAGATCTCTGTGAGATCCAGGCCAGCTGATTTACATAGTGAGTTGCAGGCAAACTGGGGCTACAGAGAGACCCTGTCTCAAAAAAATACAAGAAATAATTTTTAAAGATTTATTTTTGTTATTTTTAAAATTATGTGTATGTGGGGTAGAGGGACAGACACATGAGTACAGATGTTCACAGAAGCTAGAGGTGTTGGATCTCTTGGCCTAGAGTTACAGTCAGTTGTGAGCCATCTAACATGTGTGCTGGAATTTGGGTCCTCCGGAAGAGCAGTATGAGCTCTTAACCACAGAACCATCTCTCATCTCTCCAACCCCTAAAAATATATGTGTGTGTTTTAATGGTGCTATTGGTCAGTGGTACAGCGCTTGCCTAGCATGCACAAAGCTCTGAATTCAACCTCCAGTGCTGAAAAAATAATAAAGTAGTGCTATTGGAACATATTCAGTGTGATCAGGGTATTTCACCAAGTGATCCTAAAAGAAAAAGAAATAAACAATTGTACATATATATTTCTTTAATGGCTGTCTGTTTATTTGTTGTGTGTTTTGAGACAGCATCTCACTATATAACTTAAGCTGGCCTCCAACTCACACTCCTGTCTGCCTGCCTCAGCCTCATGAGTGCACTGCCATGCCTAGTTTAGCTAGGTAACCTAAATTGATTTTTAATATGCACACAGGAAAATACTAGACGTAAATATATGAAATGTTAGCAGATGTTTTCTTTTCATGGCAAAACAACACAAAAACTATAGGTATTGATGGCAAACACTTGTGTGCTTTTATTTTCCTCCCTGCACCCTTCTGTATGTCCCACATACTCTAAAATGAGTGTGCTCTAGTCACATAATTGGACGAGGTAGAAGTTGGGGACAGAAATGGTGGTGACTTGAAAGGAGCCTGGGTGAAAGGCCTACTCACCTTCTTCCTTCCATAGTAGAGCAGCTTAGTGAATTTCTCCATGATCTGTGCTGGCATCTCCACAGTAGGGGGGATCTCCCCAGTGAGCAGGTTTCGGGTCCCTGAGCTTGACATGGACCAGTCCTCATCGGTCAGGTTGATGAGGTTGGCCACGCGGGGCTGCCTCTTGTACTTCTCCAGCTTCTTGCAGTCCTGCATCAGCAGCTCAGCGATGTCAGATCCCACCATGGACTGCCAAGGTAAAGAGGGCCATCCTGAGGGATAATCCTATCAGTCCCCAAGCTGGCAGCCCAGGCTGGAGAAGGAAGGCAGCAGGGTCTCTGCCTTCTTCCTAAGACAGTCATGCAAACACAAGGCAGACCATTCTTAGATGACTGTATTCAAACACCAACTTGACTCTCATGGTTACTGTCTGCCTGTCAAAAGTCACAAAGTTCATTAGAACTGCTCACAATTTCACAAGTGTGCTATCTGATTGATGCAATAATCCAGGGCCTGTACCCCACCTCCAGCCAGTAGGGAGGAGCATTAGAGGAAAGGTTGGCACTGACAAACTGGTGTTGACACCTGAACAATGGTTTCCCTAGGAGCAATGTGTGCTTCTTGAAGATTGCTTTTCATAATCATGCCATACACAAATGCCCATGCAGACTCCCATGCAGTCCAGCCTGCACCTGCTCCCCCATCAAGGCAGTGACTTACCCCATTCTGACGACAAAGGAGAACCAGAAGCTGCCACAATAGGGCTGAGTCCCTGCTCCCTGGGGTCTCAGATTTGAAGCTCTGAGCTGCTTTCAGCTGGCAAAACGTCATGATATCCACCTTGTGTATATCCTCCCTATGGAGAGATTTCAGGTAGCAAAGCATGAGCAGGCAGACACTACCCCTGTTCAGGACCCCAGGCTCCCCATGCAATGAGCCCGTTGGGTTGAAGTCATGACAAAAGCCTGACAGCCTAGGACTAAAAGCAAGTCTGTAGCCACAAGGTAGTTATTTCCTGATAGAACAAGGAGGAGCTTTAGAGATTCTCCTGTGCATCCTGTCCATCTTTCAGATGAGGGGAATGAAGCCCAGAGACCTGAAGTGACACCACAAAACAGCAGGTAAGAGCTCTGGGTCCATGAGTCAGACAAGCCTGGACCCATGCCTGATCTGTCTCCTCTCAGTTTATACAGACATCTCATTTTCTCTGAGCCTCAGTGTTTTCCCTTCCCTAAAATAGGGAAAACAAAAGAATCTGCCTTCACATAAAATTGGATAAGCAAGTTTTGTGGCAACTATTAAATGGACATTAAGTGGGCATTACTTACTCAAAATCATTCAATAAATCAAAGCCAAAGTGGGTCAATACCACACTATTTAGTACCCAACTCTGTTTTCTACCCTATCTGCATACCTGTGTGTAAGACACAGAGACAAAAAGGACTAATGGGCAGTTGGCACTTGAGGAACAACACTTGAAGTTGTCCTCTGACCTCACAACACACATGTGCACCCACACACTTAGGCACATACAAACATATACACACAGGCATAAACAATGCTAATTTTTACTTGAAGGATCTGTTAGTAATAATATGGGATTTTCTTGGAGAGCAAGCTTCAGGATAAGAATACATTTACATAATGATGACACATAAAGGTTTTCCATGTACATAGAGTCTCAGTCACCACCTTCAGAGTAGACACGGTGTTACACCGTTTCTCAAAGGGAAAACTAAGGCTCAGAGAAGATTTATGGACATATCCACGTAGTACTACCAGTTAGAAGGATGCCTGGGATGCTGGTCCTCTGACACCCACTCAGGACTCTCCACCACAACTAAGGCACACTGAATATCAGAAACATGGCTGGCAATGTTAAAGCAGTTCCAGTTCATTCCTGCAGAGGGCAGACTTTCACAATGTCCAGGAACTGGAGAATTGCACTGCCTCTCAGAAAAGCACTGTTGCAAGAATGTTTTCCTGGACTAGGCTCGGCTCCATTTTTCCACTAATATTTATCAAGTACATTAAAACTTCCTACTATCTAACCTCAACAAAACAGAACGGAGGTTTAGATTTCAAACTTGTTAAGCTAATTTTTCTTGCTGTCTTTCACATATTGAATGGTTTGTTAAAACGACTTGGGCCATTTTCTTTCAAGGAAACCAAGACCCAGACAGGAAGATGTTCCAGGTTTCAAAAGCCTCAGTTAAGGGCTGGGGATCTGGCTCAGTGGGAAAGAGCACTTTCTGTGAAAACAAGAGGACCTGAGGTCAAATTCCAAGCACCTACATAAAAGCAAGGTATGGCTGCATATGCCTGTAACTCCAGTATTTAGGGGCAAAGCAGGCAGATCCTGGGAGCTTGATGGTCAGCTACCCCAGCCAAAATGGCAAGCTTCAGGTTCGATGAGAGAGCCTCTCAAAAATAAGGTAGAGAATGATAAAGGAAGAGCTCTGATGTCCTCCTCTGGTCTCTGCATGTGTGCACATGGGTGCATGCACCTGCACACACAGGTACGCATACATCACCCCACCCATACATACTCCCACATGCACACAAAGCCCTCACTTAACAACTTTTGCGATACATTACCTGATCAGAGGTCCTGGAAAACCTCTCAGTTCCTCTTGATCTTCAGAATCACTAAGTATAACCTGCAACAGAAAATCAAATTAGGACTCTAAGACCATTCCACCCATTGCCCATCAGTCAAGTCCAGAATCAAATCCCAGGGCTATGGTCCTAGGGATGGCTCAGTGCATCGTGGAGACAAAGTTATCCTGTTGAAGATGATCTACCAGCATCTTGGGGAAAACATAAGTCTCATATCACTTCTTTCAGAAAAAAAAAAAGCCCAACTTGTTCCTGGCCCACAATAGGGCATGGCCCAGTTCCCTCCAAGAATACCGCCTCCTGGAGATGCTCAGGCTCAAGCAAAGGGAAGCAGGGAAGCATGAGGAGCACATGGGTGAGCAGGGTTCAGGCAAGGATCTTCATTACCTCCAGGCTGTGCATTTCAACAAGGGCCGTTTGTCCATCCGTGGGAGAGTTGGGGGACACGCATACTAGCTGGCCTCCCGGCCCAAAACTTACAGACGTGTGAGGGACATAGAACTTCATGGGTGCCTTGGGACCAGTTACTGAGGCATCACCTGACCAACAGACACATATGGACATAGTTAGCGTTACTTCCACTGCTCTTTTTTAATTTAGGAAGACACTACAGATACATTTCTATTCAAATTTTACCTGGGCCAGTGCAGTTTAAGACTCTGAGAATATGTCAGAATGTAATGTAAGGACTCGATCTTTCAGTCCAAATGATAATGCATGGAGCCTGGATTCCCAGCGATAGTCAGAGGACAAGGATGGCCCAGAGCACCTATACCTATGGCAAGTTCTCCAGACAAAGCATTTAGGCTTTGCGCCCTGCTTTCGCTTCACCCAATTTTCACTGGTTTCTATTTTCTCCACTTGTTGCTTAAAAGCACCTTGGAATGCCTCCTGACCCAGCCTAAAGATGGCTAGGGGCAATGCTCCTTTCCAAGAGTCAGTTATGATGCAATCTCCATTACCAGGGAAAAGATAGGAAAGGGAGCCAAAGTTGACTTCTCCTGGGAGACTTGCATAAGCAGATGAGGTGGATAAGGACCCATTCCTGGAAACAATGGAAAGGGACTACTTTCCACAAGACTCACCCCTCCAGCCTTTCTTATCAGAATCCCAACTCCAGTGGTGACTCTGTACCCACCAGCCTGAATAGGTTTCCAAACTGCCGATACCATGGGATCATACTGGTCGGAGTCATCTGTCATGTATTGACTGAGCTCATAGCTGCTGGAGCTGAGGCCAGACTCATGTTGATGGAGAAGGTTGGACTTGCTGGTCAGTGATGGCTGAAAGTGAAAAACAATGCCCTGAACCCTAGAAATTAGGAGTCTGAGGAGGACTGCTGAGTTTGAGGCTAGCTTGATTTACATAGAGCTTAAGGACAGCTGGGAATACACAGCAACACCTTGTCTAAAAAAAATTTTAAAAACAATGAAAACATATGGGAAGCAGTCTCAGAGCTAGCCCTCCCACTTCCCAAGTGACCCTTGAAAGAAACAAAATGCAGACTTTCTGATAAACCTTGTGAATGTGGATTCATAAAAAGGAGAAGGCACTACGCCACTGCCAAGTGTTTGCTAAGGGATGCATTATGGCCCAGTGGGAAGAGTGTAGGTCCTGAGGTCAGGGAACTTTTCTATTCAAATCTCAGGTTCAAATTCCAACAGCTTACTGCTGTGACCATGAACAAGCGATGTGGACTTTCAGAGCTCAATACCATTATCTGTAATACAGAAAAAAGAAAATCTGCCCTGTGTACTTTATTTATTAATTCACAAGCTATTTAATGAACACCTGTATGGTCTAACACTGTGCATCCCCTGGGAAGACATGTATACAAGGAATTAATAGAACTTATATTCTGGAAGATATGAATAAAACAGTGGATTCAAAAGCTCTTTGTACACTATAAAGTGCTATTTATGTATTGGGTTGTTATTATTAGTCACAATAACACGTGTCCTATCCTAGCAAGCACTAGATATGCAGAGGAAACTGTCTATAAAAAAAAAATCACACAAAGCTAACCAGGGAGACAGAGCTAATCCAAATCCATAAAAAATTAAGAGTTCACCTCCACAGCATTTTCATAACTTGTCTGTAAAACTACAATTGTTCCACAGTAAAAAATGTATTTCAATACATTAAGAACTCTGTTTTGTGAGCCAGGTGGTATATGTATTGGGATTTTAGAGGAAAGAGATTAGAGTCAGGAAAGATTTCAAGTTTGCTTTTCAAACCTAAATTTAAAGATTGTAGCAACTTCTTATTTCCTAAACCTCTAGTACCCTCGGGTACCTAACACCTAACATGTAGTGGCAGCCTCTTCTCTTTCCCAGCACCTCAGAGTGACTTGAGTCCTGCCCATTTGACAAACATATGAGTGGGCCAGAGCAGGGCCTCAGACTGGTAAGACTGAAGCAAAAAGGCAGGAGAGGAGGCATGCTTTGGGGCTCTGCTGGTAGTTGCAGACCCCCATCCCAAGGATCCCACCTGCCACTACTGACAAGGTGGTTTAATGTATGGCCACAAGCCTCCAGCCCCATGTCACTTTAGGTTACCTTTTTCTTCTGGACCCCACTCTCTGGAAAAATCTCCCCAGGCTGCTCCTGTCCAGAGCTGGAAGCAGGACTGTCTTTATATGGATTCTTACTGGTAGATCTGCAACAAAATGACAGTAGTGTTAGCACAGGTACTAAGCAAGCCAGCAAGACTGACGTGCACTCTGCTGGAAGCTGCTCTGGTGCTAAATGTGGGCAGGTGTCAGGCCAGCTTGGTGACACAGGGAAGATTATTTCCCCACCTCAATGTATTAATCTCTGAAAGATGGAGTACTTGGGTTCCCTGAGCCGTTACTGGATAAGGCTCAGACTCCACAGAGAAGGCTTGGTCTCTGCAACCAAGAGACAGCGTTTGTCTCTGGGGACAGCTTAAACCAGAGCACTTATGTTGGTGAATTCCAAGACGAAGAGCACCAGGACAAACGCTTCTGCATAGACTCTTCCCTACAGTGCCTGATGCCAGAAGGACAGTTTATGCTTGGAACTAGGGAGGGCAGTGGAGATGCACTCCAGCCTCAGGCAGGACCCAGTTATCAGAACTCTTGTAAGGCTACATTGTTCTTGAGGCCAATATAGGATTAGGTCCTCCTTTAAAACAGGTCTCAAGTAACCTTACAGGATGCAGATTAGACCTGGAACTTTTTTAAGAATCCCTCTTCTAGGATCATACCAACAGCTGGCCTGGGCCACTGTAGGCTATTCCCATGTCCTTGTATCTGGTACAGAAACAGACAGGCTTCCAGAGGTCAAAGACCACCACCAGACAGCCTAAGACTGGCCTAATGGAGTCTGAGTTTAATTAAATTTTGTCAGTATGGCTTGTCTTTTCATACTTACTGGAACTGGGTCTCATTATTTGTTCTGAACAGACTATTCTTGTTTTCACGCTCATGATCACTGAAGTACTTTTGATCTCCATAATCTTCATGCCAGATATAAGGACTCCCTTGCCTTGGAACTGCACCCTCAGAGAAAACAAAATAAAGATAGGTCACTTGCTATTTCTGAAAGTCTTTTTAGAAAGACATTAGGGAGCTGTGATGCTGAGGCACTGGAATACAACAGGTATAAAATCAAGAGGTCCCCGGTTCATATCTGGGTGCCCCCTCAGCTAGTATTCATGTTGGTCTGGGCGTGGTGGCGCATGCCTTTAATCCCAGCATTTGGGAGGCAGAGGCAGGCGGATCTCTGTGAGTTCAAGGCCAGCCTGGTCTACATAGTAAGTTCCAGGACAGCTGGGGCTACAAGGCTACAAGTAGATCCTGTCTCAAAAAGACCAAAAAAAAAAGCATATATGTCAAAATGAGTTAATTGACGGGGGAGAGCTAACAGTGAAAAAGCCCCTCAAGGTGCCTCTGAGCCAGTTTGCATTGCTTTATATAATTGCACAACAATGGGAATCTGTGTGCATACATGTGTGTTCAATGCTGAAGTAGATTTCTCTTTGCTAGCTGGTCATAAACTGCCATTAGCACAACAACCTATTAGGTAGGGAGACAGGGTATGGGACCCCCCCCTCATTGATGCACATCTGCTGCCCCTAGGGAGAAGTAATGGTCACATTCATATCATAGCTCAGCATAACAGGAGGAAATGGCTTCTCTGTTGCTTGGCCAGTAACTATAACCTTGGCAAGGAGAAGTAACAAGAGAAACAATGAGGATGAAGTCAACACAGAACTAGTAACACCGGGGAAGTCTCCATAGTATTACAGGACAGGGCTCCTGCTGTGGTCTCTTTTGACCAAGTGGAGGCTCTCAACATTGTCTCTGGCCCTGCCAGTCAGACCACTTAGACAGCTCCAGTTCCTGGAGATTAGTTTATACCTCTTTCTTCTCGCAGGAGCTGTGGGTGCCCATGGTAGTAGTAATTTCCATAAGTGTAGTCTTCCCTCAGTGTTGGAGAGTGGTACCTCTGATAAGGATCCTCATAGCCTGGCCTAAGAAATCACAAAGAGAACCAGTCAGCCAATGATAACAGTAAAGGGAAAAACCAAAGGGATACTGGATGAGCTGGACAACTTCAAAAGACAGAATGACTGCCCAGTTCAGAACCTGACTGAAAGACACAGCACATGTTAGATTAGAAAATCCAGAATCGGAACAGGAGGGGATCGTTGCTGCATAAGAAGGCTGAAATTTTTATAGTGAAAACTCCTTTTAAATTTAAATCTCTCTTTAAAAAATAATTTTATTTACAACTTTTTAAAAATATTTTATTATTTTTATTTTGTGTGTATGTGTGTATTGCCTGCATGTAGGCAAGTGCACTCATGTCGTGCAATGCCCCGGAGGACAGAAGAGGCTGTCGGATCCCCTGGAACTGGAGTTACAGACAGTTGTTAGCTGCCATGTGGGTGCTGGGATTCAAATCTGGGTCTTCTGCAAGAACAGCCAATGTTCTTAACTGCTGAGCCATCTCTCTAGCCCCTATTTATACCTTTTTTATTTTTGTAATAATATTCTTACTCCCCAGATATACATATCTATCAATACAGTGGCTGTTATCTTAGAAACCCCTGCTCTGATACTTGAGGGGAAAAAAATCCTTCTTGAGAAGACTATATAGAAATTCAATATACCATTGTAATTCCCATGCATATTGGAAACAAAATTAAGACGGACAAAGGTCAAATCAGACTAACCTCAACATGACTGCTTCCACTGTCTCTACCTTAACATACTTCCTCTTGAGAATTCAACGATCTAGGAGGATTGGGGAAAGGAACATTACGTTGTATTGTTTCTATCAATTAAAAATAATCAGAAAATTCTTTACAATAGCTGTCCTAACTTCAACCTTCAATCTGTCAGGCAAATAAACATCATCTGAACTGGGAGCGCACAGATGGTTTCTAACACTCTGAAATATTTAGTCCAATGTTATTGATGAGAACAGGAATTCGAGATTTTCCAATACAGAATTCTCTCTCCATGGCCTCTTCCTTCTGACTTTTAGAGTCTGCAAATCTGTATTTTCCATCTCTGAAATGAGTTTTTCTTCAAGTTCTTATTTATTAACATTGATCTCTGCATTCCTGTTACCCTCCAGACACTGCTTGAGACTCTAGGATTCTTAGTGCTGGTGGTATCATGCTAAGCCTGGATCAAAAACAATGTGAAACTTTTCACTGTCCTAAGGAAAGCTTTTCCACAGGCCACAAATGCTGCCTTTTATAACTCCAGGGCAAGAATTCCCATCTGCTCACTTGAATTTCTACCCTTTATCCCTTTATCCCTCCCTCAGTCCCCAATAATGCTGTGATAGCTGGTTACGGGGTTCTATTGGGGATAAAGAAGAGGAAAATATAATCAGTCACAGAAAACCAAATCAGGCTAGGACCTATTTTAGCTAAGCCAATATTAGAGAGTTTGGAAAGAAGGAAAGAAGAAAAGGAAGAGGAGGAGGAGGGAGAGAGGGATGGGGGGAGGAGAAGAGGGAGAGAGGAAAATGTGGAGAGAAGAAGGAGTCAAGGGAGGGAAAGAGGAAGGGAGAGGGAGGGAGGCAGGAAGGAGGAAAGGCGGGAGGGAGGAGGAGGAAAGATGGGGAGAAGGAGGAGAAGAATAAAGGGAGAGCAGGACATGGTGGCACACGCTAACACTCTGAGACTGAGGGAGGTCAGAGGATCCCAAATCTGTGTGCTATGTAGCAAGTTCCAGGCCAGCCTCAAAAAAAAATAAATAAATAAAAACCGAAGAAGAAGAAGGAAGAGAGTAACAACAGCAATCTATCGCACTCAGGAGAGCTGGGTTCATGGCAAGCCCTAAAACCATACCTTGAGTACAACTGACTGGGATAAACCCCTTCGTAGTAGTCAGCCCCAGGCCTTGGTGCATAATAGGGCTGCTGCTGGTCAGGCCTGGAGTCCTGCTGTGGCTGTGAGCTCCTACGGACATCTTGCCGTTGATGGAACTTATCTCCACTGTGTCGATGGTAAGAAAGGGGCCGATAATGTCCACTCCGAAGCCCTCTGTCTGGGTCCTTTGATGGTGCCATGGGCCTCCCTTGTGAGTGAGATGACCACTGGGGAACCCAAGGTTCCATCTCTGACCCTTTGAATTTCTCTTGAGTCTTGAAGTCGTTATGTTGCTACCTTATTTTCCTACACACAAAAAGAGAAAATAAACATTTTGAGGGACTGGGAAGATATCTCAGTAAAATAGTTGCCTTTCAAGCACAAGGACCTGAATTAGATCCCTAGCACTCACATAAAAACCAGATCGATGTTCTGAAGTACACTTGTAATCCCAGCACTAGGTGGGCAGAAACAAGATCCCCAGGGCTCATTAGCCAGCCAGCCTGCCTAGCTTAATCAATGAACCCCAGGGTCCAGTGAGAGACTCTGCCTCAAAAGACAAGTTGGAGCTGGAGATGGCTCAACAGTTATGAGTACTTGCTGCTCTTCTAGAGGACCCAAGTTCAGTTCCAGCACCCATGTCAAGCCTTTCATGACTTCCTGTAACTCCAGCTCCAGGGGACCCAACACCCTCTTCTAGTCTCTGTAAGTATCCAAACATGCATGGCAGGCACAGGCATACACACATACACACACACACATGCATGCATGCACACATGCATGCATGCACCTAGAAAAATATTTAAAAATAAATATTTTGTCTCTATATAAAATATATAAAAATAAATCTTATAAAAATGTCTCTATATAAAAATATATAAAAATAAATTTTTTGTCTCCTATACCAGTTTGAAGATGTGAGAGCTCAGTTTTCTGTCCAGGCTGCCTCCTGCTGCCACCAGCCATGTCTCCCCACCATGATGGACTCTTTTCTTTCTGGAACCAGTTTGAAAATACTCGTTCAACTAGTTCATGTGATGAAAACTATCTACAAAGCAAGCTCATTTCCACAGCCCTCCCTCATTGGCAAAGAATGTTGTGAACTCTGATCTACTGTTCTCTGGGAAATATTCCTACAATTCACTTTTCGACTCAAAGTCGAAAAGGACCAAAACCTGTAATGGTCTCTCTTGCTATGTAATAAATTATATTGATACTTAGTGAAAATGCAAATAAAAAACAAATCTTTTAAAGACAAGACATATGACTCCTGAAGAATAACTCTCATTTGACCTCTCACCTCCACACACACCAACACACACACATGCATATACACCCACACACATATGCACACACACACACACACACACACACACACACACAAATCAGCATTTTAAGCCTTTATCTAAACATTGTAGCTGATTAGGTTTTGTGAAAAGAACAACTATCATTCTCAAAGTTGTCTAAAATGAACCATATGACCACAGTGAAATATGAAAAAAAATTCTAAGAGATACATTAAATAAATAACAGGCTAGACAATTAGGTTGATGTTGCTTAAAAATTTTTAAAGTGCATATGGAACAACAGATGTGGGAGGCATGGGAGGCAGATAACAGTAACTGATGCAACTACAAAATGGTATCAAGGAATCCCAATTAATGTTTCTTCTTTTATCCCACCAGCAAATATTTATCCAACACTTACTTTGAGAGTGCTGAGGTATCACAGAAATAGTCAGGCTTGGAAGGAGCTACATTAGGGTTCAGATCCTGACTGTGCCTCTTACCAGCTGGTTATTTTTGGTTGTGAGCCTGAACCTTTAATGGCTACACCATCTCTCCAGGCCCTGGTTAACTTTTTCAAGTCTTAATTTCCTTATCCACAGAGACTGAAGCAACAACTTTGCAGGGTTATTGTCAAACAATATGTTAAAGGTAACATATGGAAAAGTGCCAGTACTGCCTGATATATAGTAATTGTTCAATATGTATTAATATCATCAGAGACAAAGATTAAGGTAATGTAACACTGAAGATCTTTTGAAAAACCATATGGAAACCTACTACTGTAGAAGCTCTCTAAAATATACACATATACATATGTAAATGAGTTTAAAAGGGGTTACCCTGTAATGAGGGATAATATCCCAACTAGACAATTTATCTTATCAAATAAAAACCCCAGTACCAGGAATGGATTACCTCTCTAGAGTTGTTGGCCAGTGAGAGACCATAGAGGTCCAAACATTACAGGCTATTGCCATTGCTCTTGGTTACCCTCACAGTAAGACTGTATTACTGAAGATACCACATACTTGAGTCATAGAACATGGAGAAATCAAGAGGTACTGACCTGGAAGCTTCATCCCTGCTGGCTAGCTTTCATAGTGCTGGAATGTGCTATGCACACTACTGGAAGAAAAAAGTAATCATCAACCTTACCCAGCTCTGAACCCTGTAACCTACAATAACTATGGGTCTTGCAAGATATTCCTCACTAGTGCAATAGTGGCATAAATATTATAGAAGTAACCAGCCACCTTATTATTGAATTTAAAACCCACTCCACAAGGTGGAACCCATACCTGACACCATTATCGGGACCAAGAACCTATGGCTACTCAAGGGAGAATCTGATACTAATTTTCTACTAAATGGACATAGTATTAAAATGACTCCTAATGGCTTATTGTTATACTCACAGATTAGTGCATTGATCAACCCTCATTAGGGAAGTTTCTTATCACAGTAGAAGACAATTAACAGAGACCCACAACTGAATAACATCCTGAGAATGAGAGACTACAGAGTACTCAGCCCTAAATAAGTCAACTGTATCACATCCCTCTACCCCAAGGCTCGGGGAACTTTGTGGAAGAGGAACAGGAAAGACTGCAAGAGCCAGAGGTGGTAGATGACTACAGTGTTTTCCAGACAGCAGAACATTTGCACATATGAACTTACAGCAATTATGACAACATGCACAAGTCCTGCTCAAGCTCAAGCCAGACAAATCCCATTATAGAAGGGGTAGCTGGGCACAAACTCTCACCCCCAGCTAAGGAGTTATTGGTTTTTGATAGCTGCTAGAGAGGAAGACTCAGTTTTGTTTGAGCATGTGACTCCTAGTAGGTCAATCACAACCCAGGGCAGATTCCACATTCAAGAGTATTTAGAGTCAGGAGAGATTGCTCAGTGGTTAAAAGCCCTGGATGCCTTTGCAGAGGACCCAGGTTCAAATCCCAGCACTCACATGGCAGCTAATAATCATCTGTAATTCCAGTTCCAGGAGATCTGATGCCCTCTTCTGGCTTCTGCAGGCATTGCGTGACACTGGTGTATTTACATGCATGCAGGCATAGCACTCATACACAATAAATAAAAAGATTAAAAAAAAATAAGTATTGGGGGGCTGGAAAGATGGTTCAGTGGTTAAGAACACTGGCTGTTCTTTTAGAAGACCCAGGTTTGAATTCCAGCACCCACTGTACCTCCAGTTCCAGGGGATCCAAAACCCTCTTCTGCCCTCTTTGGGCAATGCATGACACAGGTGCTCTTACACACATGCAGGCAATACATTCATACATATAAAATAAAAAATGATAAATATTTTTTAAAAAGAGCATTTGGGCAACACATGTTGGACTTGATAGGGGTTAAAAATGACATGAAGTTGGGTGTGGTGGGGGTGATTCTGGGAGGAGTTGGGGAGGGGGAATATGATCAAAATATACTATACAAAGTTCTCAAAGAATTAATGGAAATTTTTTTTTAAAGATTAGAGTAGTGTAAGTGACTGAAGACATTTCCTAAACAAAAAGGTATTTCTGGGTCTGGGGAGATTGGTCAGTACATTAAGTGCTCTCTTTATAAACATGAGAATCTGAGTTTAGATCCCCAGCACACACACATACAAAGCCAAGCAACTGTAGTGAGCCTGTAATCCCAGTACTGAGGAGAGGGGTGAAGATAGGTGGATCCCTGAAGCTCATTGGTTAGTCAGCCTAGCCAATCAATGAGCTGCAGGTTCAATCAGAGATCCTATCTCAAAAAGCAAAGTGGAGTGCAAGAGAAGATGCATGACTTTGACCTCTGGCCTTGACATGCACACCCCCACCCCACACCCCCTCCCCCCACACACACGGTTTAGATTGACCCCATCAAGGATTCCTTTTCAGACTCTTCACATTACCCTCCTTGAAGAATAAGGCCTTATATATGGCTGTTCCTCCAGGAGAACCAACACAGACAAGTTTGGGATATTGATATAGGAAAATGGACAGGCAAGTCTTCAAGATTTTTTCTGGCTGGAGATATTTAAACCTAGATATTTCTCTTTCATCAGACTAATTTCCCCACTTTTTTTTTCTTTTTCCCCACTAAAAAAGCTAGCTCCAAGACCTAATGCCCTTTCTCAGTTCCTCAGTCTATTTGACAAAAGGGTATATACAGAAGGAAAGCATAGCCCAGGCCTTGTTCCTGTTCCGAGTCTCCTGGGTCACCAACACATACAGGCACAATCAGCACCCCCCTCCTTTCTTCTCCCTTGGGAATTGTTGAGGGCTGTATGGTTCTAATTTAATCTATTAATTTGCTCTCAGTCCTGAAGCTCCCAGGCTCATCTCAAAACTCATATCAGAATAACGGGTCAAAGGGTTTGTGTTGAAACTAAGATGACATTGTTTGAACACCACAGAACCAGGGTCCTGAACAACAGGGGAATTTTTGCCTTCTCCATGCCAGTTTACTGCCTCAAAACACCCAGTTGTAAAAAAGCTCTTGCCAGCAAATCCCAGGAAGGTCCAGTGTCCCAGGATCCCAAGGCTCCTTTACTAAAGACCCATAAAACTCAGTATTACTTGGATACAAGTAAGCAGAAGCAGAAAAAAAAAAAAAAAAATTGTAAACATCACACTTTGAAGTTGTAGTTAAGAAAAAAAAAATTACTCTCAAAACCTAGACATTCTGATTTTTTTGATTTCCTTTTTTTTTTTTTTTTTTTTTTTTTTTTTTTGAAAAGGTTTCCCCTTTATCCCCCTGT